AGCAGCGCAACCCGAGGCGGTTGTGGGGATGGCTCGGGGCCTCCTCAGCGAGAGGGATGTCGGTATCTTTCGGGAGAGGCGGTGGTGACGGCCGTCTACATCCTCAACCGCTTTCGCCTACCAAAGGCGCTCTCGGCAGGACGCCGACGACGAGGCTTGGCATGGGCGCAGCCCGGCGGTCTCCCACTGCGGGTCTTGGTACGCCTCGCGTTCGCCAAGGAGCTTAGCCACATCAAGAAGCTCGCGGCGGAGAGCACTCCGGAGTGTTCATCGGCTACGCGGAGGGCTCGAAGGCCTACCGCATCCTCGACCGAAGACACGGCGTGTGCGCGCGCGCGCGATGACGTTGTGTTCGACGAAAAACAGAGATGGGCGTGGGACAAGGCGGTGGGCGATGGCTCGGTTCGACGACGTCTGGCGACTTCTTTGTCGAGTACGCCCACGCCGAGGAGCTGGGAGTAAGGCGGCTCTTCTTCGGCGAGCGCGTCTACCCTAGTCCCGAGCCTCCACCGACCGGCGCTGCTACTCTCCGGCGGACCACCGCTCCGGCCGGGACCTCGGCTGCGATGAGTTCTTCGCGGCTCCACCACAATCGGCAGCGCCACGTACTCCAAAGATCGGACAGCACCTCTTGGGCACGTCTACTCCGGCTCGTGTCGAGCACGGCCCGGTTGAGCTTCGCTTCTCCGCTCTCTCACGGCGAGGCGCATCGACGCGCCGCGTACCACGGCGGCGAGCCATTGCGCGATACCGTGACGATGGAGAACCTTCTCGGTGACCGGCCCGGTGCGGGACCGGTGCCTCACGACTGGAGGCGCGATTGCACCTTGCGTGTGTGACGACGAGCGAGCCTCGATCGTATCACGAGGCCGAGAGACACGCTGCGACATGGCGCGCTGCGCGATGCGATTGGAGATGGATGCGGTTGAGAAGAACCGCACTGGGAGCTTGTTGACCTTCCTCGTGGTCACCGCGCGATCACCCTTAAGTGGGTGTACCTGGTGAAGAGGATGAAGCCGGTGCCATAGTCAAGCACAAGGCTCGCTTGGTGGCACGAGGTTTCGTGCGGCGGAGAGGGTCGATTTCGACGGCGCCTTTGCTCGTGGCACGGATGGAGTCCGTCGCGACTCCCTGCGCTAGCTGCCGGAGGGGCTGGCGTGTTCATCACATGGACGTCAAGTCGGCGTTCCTTAACGGCGACTTGAAGGAGGAGGTCTCGTGCACCACCGCGGGATTTGCGATCCCGGCAAGGAGGGCAGGTGCTCACGCTGCGCAAGGCCCTCATGGCTTGCGGCGAGTACGCAGAGGCGTGGAATGCCAAGTTGGATTCCACGCTAAAGGGATGGGCTTGAGCAAAGCCCATGACGAGGCGACCATCTACCGACAGGCGGTGGAGGAACCGCTCTGCTTTGGTGGGTGTCTCGTCGACGACTTGGTGATCACCGGCACCAAGGATGCGGAGGTGGCGGCATTGAAGGAAGAGATGAAGGCCACCTTCCGGATGAGTGACACAGGGCCCTCTCCTTCTACAGGCATCGAGGTGCACCGAATGACTCCGGGATCACACCCGACAAACCGCCCTCGTAAGCGCGTCGTTGAGCTATTTGGGCTCACCGGCGCAACCCAGCTCTCACTCCGATGGAGGAGAGGTGGCGAGCCGAGCATGACAAGACGACGGAGGAGGTGGGCCTTCACGCGATGACGGCGTCTTGTGGGGAGCCTTCGCTACCTCGCCACACACGGCCGGACTTGGCATTATCCGTCGGGCTCGTTAGTCGGTTCATGCAATGACCGACAGCGGAGCACCGGCCGGTGTGAAGAGGATCATCCGCTATGTTATGGGACTCTCGACCACGGCCTCTACTACCCGAGGTGCCACAGGCGGCACACTTCGTCGAAATCTGAATGACAGCGACCACGCGCGGCGACATCGACACCGGCAAGAGCACGAGCGGGGTCTCTTCTTCCTCGGCAAGTGCCTCGTTAGTGGTGGCGATCGGTCAAGCGGGCGGTGGTGGCCTGTCCGGTGCGAGGCCGAGTACATAGCGGCCTCCACCGCTTCGACTCAGCGCTCTGGCTCGCTCGGCGCTTGGTGATCTCCTCGGCGAGAGACACTAGAGCGGTGGAGCTCTGGTGGTGGACAACAAGTCCGCTCTGCCACGGCAAAGAACCCCGTGTTCCTGAACGCAGCAAGCACATCCGGGTGAGGTACCACTTCATCCGAGGCTGTTTGGAGGAAGGGAGCATCAAGGCGAGCTACATTAACACCAAGGACCAGCTTGCGGACCTGCTCACCAAGCCCCTTGGGAGGATCAAGTTCCTTGAGCTCTGCTCCGGGGACTGGATGGTTCAACTCTCCCACAAGACGATGCACAAGACTTAGGGGGAGAATGATGGATAAGTCTCATGTGTGGTCTTTGTGGGGCTGTACTGCTCACATGGTCCTTGTGGCTGTTTTTCTACTTTTAGGACAGCATCTTAGACTAGAGGACAGCAGGACAGCATCTTAGAGGACAGCATCTTAGACTAGAGGACAACATCTTAGCTAGGACAGGACAGCATCTTAGCTAGGACAGCATATTAGCATCTTAGACTAGCATCTTGGCATATGCTTGGCTGGCTAGCAGCCTATAAATATGTAACCCCAACCCCTCAGATTGGCATGGCATTTGAGTAAGAAATAGACAAGAAAATTGCCCCAACTCCTAGTGTCATCCTCTCTCGATGAGAGTAAGAATTCTCCTACTACCAAGAGTGAGAATTCAGCGACTAACACGCTCCCGCGCGTCTGCCTCCTCGCGTGCCTGGCGCGCCTCCCGCGCAGCCGCCCGCGCCGCGCGCTTGGCGTCCTGCGCAGCCCGCACCGCAGCAACCGTGTCGAGCTCGTCCGTGCCGCTAGCCGCAGCCGCCGACTGCCTGCTCCGCCCGCTGGAGGTGGTGGAGCCATGGGAGGAGTGGGAGGAGAGGGAAGGGGAGCGATTGGACTGGATGGACATGGCGACCAGATTGAGGATGGGTAAAGGGGAAAACCCCCAGGTAAGAAACTAGGCTCTAGATGCCATTTGTTGGAACCAAAGCACAGGTTTGGGGCTGAATTTCTGATTTCATTAGCATTGCCATAAACCATGGCAGTTTGGGGATACATATAGGATAGCTTGCTTGCAACTTAAGAAAGCTACAGCATATTCCAACTACTAAAGTAGATGGTAAAGTAGGATAAGATAGATGATAAGGGTGCTAACACGGGCACCAACTACTCTAGATAAACACAAGTCTTATAGACCAAGTCTATCACCCCTCACCCGTGGTCCAAAAGAAAAAGGAAACCGACCAATATCAACCCCAAAATCTGACCTAGACTTCCTCAGGTGCTAGGGCAGTGAGGTAGGAAATACCACTTGCTCCACTAAACCCCAAAATTTCAACTCATCTCTAACCTGGACTGTGTGATCGAGGATAAACTCGGTGATACTCATAAAAGAAACACTGGTTACGGAGGTTCCAAATAGACCAAGCTCCCAAGATGATCATTGAATTGAGTCCCTGTCACCCCATCAACCTTGGAACTTGCATCAGACCACCAATCATCAAAGGATGGGACTGTAGGCTGCGGTGAAAGGCTCTGCAGCCCAACCCTTCGGAGCAACAAGAACCAGAATCCTCAGGCAAATACACAACCAACAAGCAAATGGTTGATCATTTTCAGGCTCCTGGTCACAGAGGGGGCAATGGGCTGGGTGTGGCAAACCTCTCTTTTCAATTCTATCAGCTGTCCAACATTTGTTTTGAGTCACCAGCCACATATAAAATTGACATTTGCCCAGTGCCCATGATCTCCAAATTCTGTTATGGTGTTAATCCATCAGATCTTGTTTTGAAATCAGCTCTCTCCTAAAGTTTCTTTAAAATTTTAATTACAAGTGATTATGGTAAGAAGCAAGACAGAAAAGGACACAACATAGCATATATTCAATAGAACGAAGAGTATGCCTTGCACTAACAGAAAATGCTGTTCCTACCAGTGATTGCCATTGTCATCTTGAATCCTGGCACACACTACAACTAATTAGTCTAAAGGTGCTACCAAGCATGTCTGTAGTCCAGTAATGCATGATAAGTTTTATATGTAGTCTAAGTTCAGCTCTTCTTAGTTCCTTGTAGAACTTGCTCTATACAAAAGGTTCTTTTGAAGCTTGCATTAAATGAAGGCTCTTTTGATGAATTGTATTTTCCTGTCATCCTGTGACCTCATTCATTTGTCTTTTATTATTTTAAGGTCCTTCTTTGTGCATTTTCCTTCAGATAAACTGAAAATTAGAATTTGTTTTTCTTTTGCAATTTGTATGAAAAATTTATTGTAAGTTTTAGTGACAAAACACAAAAGGAAATATTTGTATCAAGGCATCAACATTCTAGGTAGTAAAGAATGCCAATTGAAAAAATTCACTTGCCTTCTTAGTTTTATTCTATCTTTAGTGTCTTCGGTGTAATTTTTTCCTTGAAAATAGGTAAGGTGATACAATGATCTCTTGACTGTGTTTGATGTATTCGGTGTAGATTTTATATACTATATGTATTGACTATCTTTCTGTCTCTGTAGTAGCATTTTTGAGCGCTTGTTCTTTTCATATGCTTAAGGCATTCCTCTTTGCTTTTGACCTCTATCACCTTCTTTAATATGTGTAGGAGCAGCATTTGATACTAGTCTAGTCAGATGCTTGGCTACTAGGCATACACGAGTCTCTTGACATTGCAGCGATATGTATTTCGGTGTATCTAGTAGATTGAACTCATGAGGTTCCTTATATCTTGTGCTTTATCTATTCTTCAAAGGTTTATTCTCTGTGTAACAGCATACTTTCTTTTTCTTGATCTTAGGTTGTCTGTTCCTTGGTCTTCCCAAGTCGTGCTGTTCTATCTCAGCCTTTGGTGACGTGGCAGCGGTTTCTGATGATTATGTAGAAAGCTCGCCATCAAGCAGTGGATATCTGAATAGTGCTATGGATACTTCATCTCATGAAGATAATCAATCAGAAAGGGCTGTTAAGATGAACGAAGACACCAGAGACAATAACAAAATGATTAAAATATGCGATAAGTTAATTGGTGTATTTCTGGTGGATAAACCTACACCAACAGATTGGAAAAAATTACTAGCTTTTAGCAGGGAATGGGACAACATTAGGCCTCATTTCTTTAAACGCTGCCAGGAAAAAGCAGATACAGAGCTGAACCCTGAGATGAAGCACAATCTTCTCAGACTTGGTAGAAAACTTAAAGAGGTCATGCATTTACTGGTTCACTGCAGGCATGGTTTACCTCATTATTTGATTTAGGATTCCTCATAACAGATATTAATATAATTTGCCCCCTCCTTTTGCAGATTGATGAGGATGTACAGAGGCATAATGAACTTCTTGAAGTAGTAAAATCCACACCATCTGATAAACTTGGTGCTATTGTTGCTAAGCGGCGTAAAGATTTCACAGTGGAATTCTTCAACCACCTTTACTATGTTGCAGAGTCTTATCATGATGAACCTGAAAAACAAACCGGTGAGTCAAATGTGAAGGGCGGGCCTGGTGCAAGCGGTAGAGTCTTACCGTCTGTGACTGGAAGGTCCCGGGTTCGAGTCGCGGTCTCCTCGCATTGCACAGGCGAGGGTAAGGCTTGCCACTAACACCCTTCCCTAGACCCCGCACAGAGCGGGAGCTCTGTGCACTGGGTACACCCTTAAACATATCAAATGTACAGATGTACTGGTTTGCCTATCTGCAATATTATAGACATAACAATGACAGTTAACTATATGTTAGTTCTTGTGAGTTTATGCACTCTGATACTATAAATAAAATAGAGCTATATCCATTGTACAACTCTTAAGACCCTAAACAGTTTCATTTTTAGAATGTATTTTGATTAACCTGCACTGTCATAATGAAGGCCAACTCTTTGCTCTCAATTATTGAGTAATTTCTGCGAAATTTTACTTTTGTACAACAAGAATTGTTGTGGAGTTTTGAATGTCATTAGTTGTTTATAGGCATGTGGACAGCATTAGTGCTGATCACTGATCTGAAGATAAAGATTTTCATTTGCCATTTGTGTTGTTTGGCCAATTGGATTCTACCGATTTATATTTTGTAGCATGGACCTTTTTATCCTTGTAGAGTTGGCAAAGCTTGGAAATGATTGTGTAGATGCCCTACAAGCTCATGATGATACAACAGGGAGTCTTGAAGCTTTGGATGCTGCAGAATTGAAGTTAAAAGATATACTTAATTCACCTTCGGTGGATGCTGCTTGCAGAAAGATTGATGACTTGGCTGAGAAGAAAGAACTGGATTCTGCGTTAGTGTTGATGCTTTCGAAAGCTTGGTCAGCTGCAAAGGGCACTGACATCACGAAATCTGAGGTAAATGATTATAGCATTCAGCAACCACATATGTGCTTGAGTTTCTATACTTTTTAGCATCTTGTAGTTGTGCTCTAGTTCTCCAAATTCTTCTTTGGGTGTTTCCTGATCTGCAATGCATGTCACAGGCAAAGGATATAATGTTTCACCTATATATGACTGCGGTGGCCAATCTCCAGAGACAAATGCCGAAGGATATCAGAATACTGAAACATCTTATAATGATAGAGGATCCAGAAGAACGGTTAAGTGCACTTAATGATGCTTTTACCCCTGGTCCTGAACTCCTAGGGGACAATGTTGATACATTATACACGTAAGTATTACTGGTGCTCTGGTGATGATTTTGTCTACGCTTTCTTTTGTTTTAATGTTGCTTGTTGCCTGGCGGATTGTAGGAGTCCAGAGGCGTTGCACACTTGGGCAAGAGCTATAGTTGATGCATATTATAACAGCAGAGAAGGCACTCTCCTTGGGCAAGCAAGAGACATGATGAATCCTAAAATCATTAAGAGAGTCAAAGAGATAGTGAAGATAATCAAGGACAAATACCTTTAAGTTTTGGTCATCATAAAATTGGGGTTTAACATTTGTACTGATTGTGTAAGTCTTGTGCCATGACCTTAGGATGATGGTCTTTTACAGACTGCTCCCTGCAAAACTACTGCCATCATTCCAGTTGAACTCTTCACCACTCCCGAAACAATCAGTGGTTCATAGATTAAAGGGAATGCAAGTTGTTGTAACTCGTTACAGTGAAAAGGTGATTGTAGCATGTGGTATCAGTTAGATATTAGGGGAGTACTAGTAGCTGTCATAACTGCTAACAATGTTGTAACTGTACTAGTATAGAACCAGGAGTCATATGTATGTGCCCAAATATTCTTGTGATGAGTTAGTGATCTCAACAATTGTACGGCTGATGCTGACTCAAACCATTTAAGACTTGTTTCAGGAAGCCAAATGTTTCTGGACATATTTGAGCTGAATAATGTCATAATACCTGGTTTTTGCTGATGTTTACAGCCACACAGCTTACAGCTATATTACCCATGTGGACATTTGGTATAGTCAACAAGATTGAGAGGTGGGTCCATCTAACTAACATCTCAATTGATATGTTCTGTATTGTCAGATGCTGCTGCATTCTTATAAAAATATTGTTCTCTCTGCTTGCAGCTGCAGAACAAAGATTTTCCACACTCCAATGGAGTAGAAGCCACAAACACTGGTCTGGTGCCTGGTGCTGTGTGCATTTACATATCCTAAATCTATATTGCCATATTATATTCACTGAACAATGAGTAAGAGAGATCCTTCAGAAATCTAATTTACATTGTTCATAGCTTATTTTTCAACCTCCAATAATAATTTCAGTTTGAGTCTTGTTTGATGTTTTGTGTTATTCCCTGTTTATTGTGGTTGACAGTTAAGACAAGATTTGCGTGTTTACTTCCTGAGATAAACAACCGTTTATTCATGCAAAAGTCATTCCAAAGAAACTAAATGCATGCAACATGAAAACTTCGACTTGCTGTTAACTTCTGGAGGATTTAACCAGAGAATGTGCTGATTCCACTGGCAAATCCAGATTACCCTCAGAGAATTTTAATTTCGTTTGGTTACAGTTGAGTCCCTTCTTCCTTTGATCCAGTACATCTATAACCACTTTTGTATAGAAGAATGAGGTTATAGGATATAATGATTCAAAAATGAGTTTCACCACCAGTATAGATGCAACCCTACAGGTGAAGGACCTATTTGGAATGTACAAATTTTTTTCCGTAGTCTTAAAGGAACTTGGTTTGAATATCATTTCTAATTTTCTATGAAAGTTTCCATGTTCCTAACAGGGTGGAAACTTTGCAGCCCAAACTCTTGAACCCGGTCCTATATCTTCTAAACAAGGGCTGCTCCTGCTCAATCCACGTTTTGACTCAGCCCAAGAGCACGTAATGTAAGCTATTGCAGAGTCAAAAAAGGGCAACGGTAAAGTTATACACACATTGCCCCAGCGTATGCATCATCTATTGATAGCAGCCGGTTCAGAATTTTACTTGGAGGATCATTATCTGCTTCCTTTTCATGTTTATCAAATCATATACAGCTAAATTTTTTCAGTGTCTTTGCAATTACAGCTGAGGTTCTTTTAACGACAGTTTGATGAAGAGTTTCGATTTTGGGAAAAAACACAGGATAAGGAACAGAGAACTCAGAAAAAATTACTGTGTTTGTCCGTTATCTATAAAAAGGTTATAAAAAATCAAATTAGTATATCTTTTAACTCTTGTGGGTTTCTGTGCTACAATCCATGTAGATGAATGTCAAGTATCAGACGTGCAATTTTGAACACATTAAGCACTTGCATTTCTAGAATATATATTTGATTAATCTGCACCATTGTAGTTACGATCCTCGAAACAAATGGTATATATATCCATTCATGCTTATCAAAGCGGTAAAGCGAGCAGTGGCCTCCTTTGCCCGCTCCAGTTCCTCCTTAGTCAACTGCCTGTCTGCCTCCTCTGAAAGTCTGAATAGCTTGAAGTGCACGGCCTCCTCGGCGTTGGTCTGAAGCCACTGCGTGCTTGTAGGTACTGAGCACAGACCGGGAGGCCTCCAAAGTGTCAATGTGCTAAGGAATGTTACAGGGTGCACTCTTTTTTTTTTGTTTGGTTTATAGAATGAAATGAGTAATCTATTATCATCTCATTCTTTATAAGCTAATAATTAGTACTAGTACGATGAATGAGGTTATTTGATCAAATTTAAGAAATGGATTCATGCTGCACCGTCTCATCCTGAACGATTTGATTCCAGCCAAATAGATAGCATATGATGATCGCATAAGACATCATAGTCGGCCCTTGAATCCATTGTCCATCCACTCATTCCACTCATTAACGAGTCCTCGAAATAATGTAACTATGGGTTGCGTGCCAGTTAGAGTACTTCATGTTTGACGAAGTTTCTAGTAAATAGTATTCACATTTATGGCTCTAAATTAATTTATTATGAAAATACATTTTGTAATATATCTAATGGTATTTATTTGACATTATAACTATTTATATTTTTTATCTATAATTGGTTAAACTTTATATACTAAAACATGACACAGTTCCAGAATTACATTCTTTTGGGGACGGATGGAGTATATCACAACTCCATGAGTGCATGGTTAAATAAGCAACAGCTATACCGGCATCCAGAAGCACATGTCTTTGCCGCCGTCCAAACAAGCTGCCAAGTTATCTCATGTTACAACAAAGATTGACCTCATATTTATGGCTTAGGTTAGAGGTCCGACTCAAACCCTATCTTAACCCTAATACAACCCAAGTTCAATTGTAATTATAGTTATATTTAACACATATCTAACAAACTTCACCTTGCCAGATATGCATGCATTTTGAAGTCTTCTATGTGCGAGCGTCTGTACTAGAACTTGAGTCACCTTTTCTGCTCCAAGAGAGCTGCCCGACGAGTCTCATCGTAGACCCACAGTAAACAAGGGTCTCCTTGGAACTCCATACTAGATGACTCTACTTGCAGTTGTACACCATTCTCTTTTATCAGTCTCAATCAAGTAGAATTAGATTTCTCTCTAGCCCTAACACACGTCTAACTCACTAGAGCGTCTGCTCCCTATTAGGCATCACGCAAGCTAATTGAATCTAATACCATGCTCGAACCGACTGCATGCGTGACATCGAGGACCTCATAGCCACTATTTGAGCCACATGGAAATTACAACATGAAAATAGGCTCTGTTTTTAGACACGGGTCTCTTAGGAGCCACATCTCTGTTAATAGACTTTAGGATGTGGTAGTTTGCTAGGCTGTCTCCATAAATGAACTGGACACATCTAGAAATAGTTGTGTATTTTAAAGGTTGTGGTAAATTTTGACTATCCCCATAAATAAAATGGGTTGTCTTCTAAAGTTAATTTTGCAATAGTGGTTGTAAGTTGTATCTCGTATCATCAGCATAGGTTTTAATATTTTATTTAATTTATCTGAAGTCATATCATGTGTCCAAATATTTTTCATAAGCTAATTGATTTGAGATTTTCCACTACAACTTGTCAAAGGATAGGCTTTGTGTTTCTTCCTACTCTGTTACATTATTGCGGGAAAAAAATATAAGTATATTGTTGTCTATGCTTGCATATGCAGAACAAAGATTTTCCACGCTTCGATGGAGTAGAAGCCTCAAACGCTAAGTTGGCACTTCGTGGCGCGACCATGTGAGGATATCCACAATCTACATTATTGGCATATTATATTGGCTAATTAGTAAACATATATTTCGAAACCTAATCTTACCCAATAACAATTCCTCATGAATTGGTCACCTTAACCATGCTGAGCCATCTGTTTTTTTCCTGACTGTGTCTTAGCATGTATTTCATTAAGAGGTAAAGAATTACACGACATAACTATGAGGGAACTTGTCGGTGTTTCGGACCGGGGGGTCCTCAACCAACCAGTAAATATGAACTGCGTGCCCCTAATCCCGGATGGTGATGCAAAGTGACACAAGGTTTATACTGGTTCAGGCAATCGGTGCCCTACGTCCAGTCTAGGAGATCGATCTTGTATTCTTTGCACCGAAGTGCTTGTAGTAGGGGGTTACAAGCTGGGTGAGAGAGGGAGCTAGTCCCAGGTCTCGACGTGGAGTGGTGCGGGCTGCTTGAGTCGTTGCTCTCAGGCAGCGTGGGAGCGTGCGTGAATTGAGTGATCTTGGCGTGAGGGCGGCGTGGTCTCGATCCATAAAGCGGCCTTGGCTGCTTCCTTTTATATCCACAAGGAGGAAGCAGGAGTACATGAGAGAGCTACTACGTGGAGCCTTAGCGAGGAAGGAAGATCGAGATTGTGGCATATTCATGTAGTAGCAGCCTGATGTCGGGAATGGCAATTGGTACTTGATCCTTTGGTGCGTCATGCCGGCCATGCTGAGGTCATTTGAAGTCGTAGGGTCTCTCGTTGATGTTTAGTCGGCATGGCCTCCTCTGTAGGTGACATGCCGTGCCTTGTGAATTTTTGACTTGGTGGTTCGCCGAGGCCTGGCAGGTGTTTGTGGCCGGCCGCGCCGAGGCCTGATTTGCCGAGGCCTAGGAGGTGACCTGAGTGCGATGTGGCGGTCTCGGTGGTCGTGTGTCGTACCAGTTTAGGTGGAAAAATGCAGGCGTGTGTCCGCAAGCACGGTAGTCCTGCGCCGTCGATGGGAATGGTAAAAAGGAGATTTGACCGCCGTCCCATCGCCCCTGTTGCTATGCCCTGCCGCCAATCGTGGTGGCGTAGGCCCCCCAAGCGTGGGTACTTACATGGATGGGACGGCCCGCCGGAGGGGCGATTGAGGCGAGAAGCAGCGAGGATGCGGGGCGAGCCCGGCCTCGGCCGAAGCGGAGAAAGAATAATACGTCCGAGACCTGCCTGGGGGTCTCGGACGAGGCGAAAACAAGCGGTTGGATTCTCCTGCGGTTTCCGAGACTCTGAGGACATGGACTTGACCTTCCATCTTTGCTTTGTCTTTGTACGGGGGTTAGATAGCA